GGCTGAATAGGAACGGGCTCGTGGGCATTTTCTCTCCTGAATGATGTAACCTCAAGGAACCCTTGCTTCTGGTACATAAGGGTGAAGAATGCACTAGAACCCACAAATCCTCTAAATAGTCATGTATATGGCAAACAGTAGCTCGAACAAAGTTCACAGTTGAAGCCAGTACGCACACATATTAGTGGCTGTTAATAAGAAGCCACTCCGCATTAGGTCTGCCAGTTGGAAATTTACGTGTACTCGTCGGCTTGAAATGGTGACCTATTCCCTAAATACAATCAGCACAACAAATACACTACTCACCTGACTGAAACGCTCAATTACCTCTTCTAACGCATCGTATGATGCAAATTTTTGGCCGCATAAAAACGGACGAAATGTATCTAACACATGACCACCAGTCGCCATCCTTTGCGCAACAATGTAGTACCCGCTACGCAGTATTCAAGAAACCGCCGTATTATCGAGGACACGCTCGCCGCAAAAGTAGCCAATCAGCGAACAGCAAGGCCTTCCAATAGGAGGCCTCCTCGTTCGCCAATTACTCCGGCACTTCATAGAGCTCACTAGGCTAGGTTGTTCACTGCCCTCCGGAGCTGGTGGTTTGTCAATGGCGGCCCTTAAGAGAATAGAGGCGGTACAAATACAATCAATTACTTAAATTAATATGTTAAAATAGGAATTGAAAGACATTCGTCGTGATCCACCCGCACTATGCACTGCTGGTCCCGTCAGTGATGATCGTAAGTCATTCCCTCTGACTTAACTACTTCTATAGTTTTTCACTGGCAGGCACTGATACTGGGTCCAGTTGGTTTATTTTGTCCTTTGTCTTATTTATTTAACACTTTTTAGCCCGACAGTCCATACGCGGGTGGCATATTTAACCTTGATATCAAATTCCCAAAGGACTATCCGTTCAACCCCCCGAAGGTTTGTACCACGTAGCGCTCTTTATCACATTTCCAGGTTAAGTTTATTACGCCGATATACCACGTAAACGTTGGTACAACCGGGACCATATGCTTGGATATCCTCCAAGACAAGTGGTCTCCAGCACTATCCATAGCGAAAGGTAATATAACTACGTTCAAACTACCGTGTAGTGCTTCTATCGATAATTTGT